AAAAAAAAATTATAACAATAAAATATTTCTGTTAAGTTGTGTTCACTGATATGCATATGAATATGAGTGTAGTATGAAATGCGTGAAGTATGAAGAGTGTTTTCCAAAATTAACACACGTGCAATTTATTCTTAACCCGGCGTTCGCACAGTTGGGTCTATTTGACCCGAGCAGTTTTCAAATGAGCGTGTTTCTTAAAATGTTTGTGCGACGTCGCCAAACTTCTCAGTAGCTGGAGCTAATGGTCCCCCTTAAGTGCGGGATATCGCCATTCAGGCTTGTTGCGGCCACAGCAGGTGATAGACACGGCCAAACGCGAAAAAGGTAAATATGACCCAACCATACTATTCGTGTCGTAATTTTGCGCCGTTTAAAAAAAATATTTTTGGTTGTTTTATATTGTTCATTTTGTTATTTTTGGCATAATACAAATGTCTGGAGTAAATGCGTACATATTACATAACAAGAATAACAACACTACATCAAAGCGACGCCAATTTCTAAAGAAAATTAAGCCTTACACTGGTTCGTGAGCATTTGCGCAATCGTAAAGATGTCATTCAATTGCCAAAACTTATGCGCAAGAGAATAAGAGAGTTCTTTGGAGAACCTGCAAAGATACTTAATGTAAGAAAGAGATGCTAAGACTGTTCTGCCAAAAAAGATAGAAAAACTCATAATACTTTTCGGAGCTGTACCAAATACATCTGCAGTGAGCATGCAATGTTGTACTGCCAAGATTGCGCAGATGATAATGATACTATAACTAGCGTATGAGACTGATACAAGTAGTATAATATTATTAGTCTACTAAAGATTTGATTAACATGCAACAAATTAGTTTGTTATAGAAAAAACTTTGTTTTGTTAAAATTTTATTACTTTAAGACAGAGGTTGTCCATTTTGTTAATATTTTGTGACACTTTTATGGAAATGACATTAAAAAGATAGTTTCGTATCATATTGTGTTTTTTTCTACTCAAAACCTATAACGATAATCGTATTATACAGATAGTACAACCACAAACCAAATTTATTTTAACTTTTGTAATTATGGCGTTTTCTTATACGGATCCTCTCGACCCAACCCTACTGTCGTTGTTGCATATTTTGACTGTGTTGACGCCGGGTTAATAAACAAAATAGAAAAATAGGTCACGATGTATGAAAGGCATAAGCATAACGAAGTGTACATATACTTTAGATTTGATAGTTAAAGATAGGAAGACTATTGAAAAATAATCTTTAAAGTTTGAAGACATACAAACTTCTTTAATCTTGAGTTGTTTTCTTGATTCACCTGAGTTCATAAGATGAACAGAAAAGTCATACCATACCCTTGGATAATAAATCCAAACATGGTATTTTCATGCGACTAAACATTTTAATCAGCAAATATTTAATTGTTGCTATTGACTTAGAGCTTAAAACATTACGTGTAGTTAAAGTATATATACTCGCGTATAGGATTAAACCATTCTTAAATCTTAACTAATATTTAATATTGTTAACTTGTCTGTAAGCCAGATGCAGGTTAGTTGAATTAAAAAAAAAATTTTTTAGAAAAAATTGGGTGTGTGTAGCATCATAATTTTATAAGTTATTTTATACTAATATTATTAATTTAAAGCGCCATCTATTATCATACACATAAATCCTCAAATATTGTAATCTGCTTAAACAAGCACGGAATAAAGTCTAATTGAGAGAATTTGATAGTTGCATTTGAAAGGTACGACAGATGGAGTTAGTGTGTATCTGTGTGAAATGGATTACACGTTTAGATGTGTTATCGCATTAACTGCTTGGGGTTTTAAACTTTTTTTTATATAGGTCATTTCGCCATTTAATCTATAGTTAAACTTTTTAATACAAAAGTAGGCTATAACTATCACAAAAAAAAAAACGGCTTTATAGTACCATGGGTAGCGCGCCCCGATCGGGGCGTGCGGTGATCAACCGTGTGGTCTTTATTGAGTTAATGTTCTGGAAAGAGTTTTGATGGGCGGAGTCTGTTTAACCGGTTCAGACGTTTTCTCGCACCATATTAGGAGATATGAGAGAAATTTGCTAGCAGACACACGTGACCCTATGCCCCTATAAATAGCTTTGCGCAGACGATTTCATCCTCTCTCTTGTCTGCTGATCGAACTCTGGAACATCTAGTTAATTGCACAGTGACTGGCAGTTATAGTCAGTGCATTATTAATTAATATACTTTCCCCGGATTAACGGGTAAGTCCAATATATTTAACTAGTTAGGTTGTAGGTTAATTTAGGTTTTTAATTGAACTATAAGAAGTGTGTGTAATTATTGCTAGGTCCTTTGAGGAGGCTAATAAAATCATTATACAAAAATTCAATTAATTAAACCTGCTTGGAATTTCTTTGAATATATATATATAAAGAAGTACGCTATATAAAAATGAGCCTGTGAATCCCATCCTGAAAGAAAACGTGTTCATGTGATGACAGCATGTCCTGTTCCGATTCATGTGGACCCCTGAATCACTTGATGGTACCAAGATCTTAAGAAAAAGCTAAGTAAAATCTGAATCTACTTAATCCTTATCCAGTGCATTCTCCGAATAACAAAATTTATGTATTTCTAGAACATATCGGAGTATTTAAATTAATATATTGTAAAGTCATTAATAAGTAACTTGTATTTCACAGCACATAGTTTATCAGTTTGTAAAACCACATCTTAATAGAATTGTTAATTTAAAAGAAATAACAACATCTTGGAATGTTATTAATTATGTGAACAACCTTTAATACTTAATCCTTAACTTTGTGAAAGCTAAATATATATAGATATACAAAGATATTAATAAATAATGTTAAGAGTGTTAATATATGTTGAAAATTTTATCTGAATATTAACAATATATATCTTGTTCACTGCGGTTATTGATTTCTTTATTTATCTCCCTCAAATATCAGTATTACGGCGCCCTGAATATAAAATATTTAATTTTCAATTTCATGCCCCCCTTCTGAGTTGGCAGGTGATAGCAGAAACTGCTAGAATATGTATCAGTATATGTATTCTATCCGTTACCCTAGTATCCCATAACACAAGCATACACTGCTTACTTTGGTGCCAAGCTAATTGGTATGACTGCTAAAAATATTTTTTTATTTATTCAATAACCACTAGAAAAATATTGTTGTCAATATTATACTTACTCGTCGTCGTCGCGCGTACAGTGCGACCAAGATATTGTGACGCGCGGCCTAAATCGTAACTTATTTTAGGACGGTATAAATAAGCCTTTTAATTATGAAGAAGGTATAATACGAATATTAGTATTGTGGGTTACCTACAATGCGAAGAGATGGCGCTGCCTTGCAGCTTAAGGCTAGGAAAATTTCGACACGGTCAATAGGGCCGTGGTAGCATAATGGTCAGTGCATTCGCCCGGATTGCGAAGGGTGCGGGTTCGAGTCCCGTCCGCTGCCTGGTCCGCGTGGATTTTTTTCTAGTAAACTTTTCTTTAGCTTAAACATCTAGCAGTTAAATGCTTAAAAATAAATAAAAACATAACTATAATTGCTATTTCTTCTTTCAAATGTTTATTACTTGAAAATCGCTTTCTATAAAGCGATTTAGGAACGTGTATAGGGTTTAGATGCTTCAGTCGCACCGCAAGCGTCACTGCGTGAGGACGTTATTTTGTCTACGATTACAATTACGCGAGTGCGCGATGTCGGCGGCAAAAGAAAAAGAAGTTATGAGTAACATAATCGAATTGTATGAAGATATGCCGTATCTTTGGAACAAAAACGATAAAAATTACATTAATAATATTAATATTCTGTCACCCACGTTTTACATTTTTTACTTTCCTTTATTTTTATTGACCGATTTTTTGTTGCTTTGACAGGACTGGAGTCATTACGAAAAAGTTCGACTGAATTCGCTTGCAACTGACTGAATCAGTAACTAAATTAGTCAAGTGTAAGCTTCTAATTAGCTTTCTTTTTTGGATCCTAACTAGGACGTCTAAATTTAGTCAGGTGGAATACGCGCTTTAGCAATTCTCATTTCACTACTTATTCACCAGGAGCGCCCTCCTGTCAATGTCATCTAAGTGCCACAAGATCTTGGTCGCACTGTAACAGTCTGTCTCGTACGCACTCTTAGTTTTTATTGATGTGTAACATCTTTCCTCTCGCTTTCCTGCAATATGTGGGAGTGATTTCGTGAAATGGGACGGAAGTGGGTAACAGGAAGCCGCGAAAGCGCGCGCTATTTGATTTGATTTTAGAACATAATGTTCAAATGGCTTATTCCTTTTGTGGTTTTATTTCTTTTTTTACTAATATAAGGTGAGGTTTCAATAGTACACATCATACGCGACTACTGTAAGGCTCGCTCGTTTTTTTACGTGTCATTCTAACATTATCTTAGGTCACTGATCTTACGCTAAGACTGAGTAACTGAATTCATTTGCAGAGATTTTATTCTGCAAAGTATTAATACTTTGTCTGTGCGTGTCGTGCTAGTATTGATGTTTGGTTGTATGAGATATTTATTATAACTATTGATAGGCTGTGTATTGATGTTTAGTTGTATGAGCTTGGAACCATGTTTCAGCGGAGCGGATGTTCCTTGTTAGAGAGTTATTCTTCAATATCATTTCCAATTCGTTGGAAATAATCATATAATTATGGATATTTTTTTCAATTGAATAGTGTCTAATGTTGTATATATAATAATAATAAGTAATTAATTTTCATAAAAGATTTTCTTTACAATAGTTAGTGACAGGAGTCCGTCCCCTTTTAAGCAAATGAATGCTGAAATATCCATATTTTATTTAAATTTAAGAAATGTATTTTTTTAGTCTAATTAAAACTTAGTTAAGTGATTAGTGTGCTGTGTGCCTATGCATGAATATGTGTATGTAATAATGGTACGGAACCCTTCGTGTGGATGTGCGTTTCGCACTTGGCCGGTATTTTTTTTTTCACTTTTTACGTATGTACTAACCTTCGGCAGATATCGAGGGTAAGAATGTGTCGGCGGGGGGAGTTGGAGTGGAAGCCGGCCACACGCGCATGGCTCGCCCTGCCACTATGGCTGCACCCAGAGCAGTGCTTTCCATCATTAGGGGACGAATCTGAAAAAAATTTGGAGCAGGAACGAATTAATCTTTAGTTTCTTTTCTGTTTTTATTTTACTTTTATTGCTTTATGTTGTGCTTACAGTCGGACCACGATAACTTTGCAGCCGATAAACTGGGCACACCAGAACTTGATCCAGCAGCCCTTTTGTACGTCATTTAAAAATGTCATAAATGTCATGTCATGCAAGAATCTTTCTTTTTACCTGACTGAGCAATGCAAGAGCGCGAAGCGCGACGCGCAGACAGGGTAGAGTTTAACAGTCTATATATGTATGTTTGTTCCTTTGTGGCACACTAGAGACCTGGACCGATTTTGATGATTTATACATCAATCGATTCGTTTTAATCATGGGAGTGCTACTAAAGATATGATAGTAATCAAAATTCAATATGGGGACAATTGGGCACCATATTGTGACGAAAAAAAATAAGTTCACCAAATATGTCGAGTGGAGTATCATTGTCTAGATAATCGAAAATCATGATTAGGTTCCTTACACCATTTTTCATTTTATGTGACGGTTTAGGATCTCCAACGATTTAAAGTTGTATATTAACCACTTACGCTTTTAATTTCAATCTTACGTTTGTATGGATCTTTGTTACTCTTTCACCTAAAAAATACTGAATGGATTTTAATGAAACTTTACAATAATATAGCTCATACATTAAAATAATATACAGATAACAATTTATGTAGTCATTGAGTGAATTGGCCAAAATATAACAATAAGTGTCACGTAAGACGGAAAATAATCCTCCATCTGCGAGCTATTTTGGCCTGCACTTCAAAAACAATAAAAGTTACACGAATATAATGTACAGTGAAAATGTATCTCTTGAATAGTTCTACAAGAAAGTCCGCGACACCATATATCTATTTTTAATATGCGATCATTATCGCTAAAATAGTGAATCTAAAATAAAGTGTGAATTTATGTCCATTTCCAAAATGCACATTTTGTATTAACAAATTATTTTTTATCAAAACAAACACTTTTATCACTTTTGATATTTAAAGACGATAAACTTTGCCTTTTACACTATGTAATTTCGACAAACATTTAAAAAGTTACAACGATGAAAAAGTGATAGCGCGGAGTACTACGCAAGATTAGACTGCGGGAATAGTGGGAGAAGAAATTTAATTTTGGTGTTTATAAACGTAGATAAAACCTAGGTGAAAAAGAAAAAAAAGTGGCTACTCGCAGTATACGAAGTACTTACAATAAAACTTTTCTACAACTCTTCTTATTATTCTTATTATATAAATGATGAAAAATAAATTGTCATAATAAGTATGTATGATTATTGTAATTTAATAAAAATCTCCAGTTTTCATTATATTACAATAATCATACGTACTTATTATGATAATTTATTTTTCATCATTTATAAGTTTTTAAAGATTACGTTAGCGATATTACTTCATGTTACAAAAAAGGGTTAGTTAAAAACATAAATAAATTTTTCGCTATATATTTAATGGACTCCCTGTATTTATTAATAATTAATAATTCATAAATACAGGGAGTCCATTAAATATATCCTCGCTCCTCGCTTTGCTTCGGTGTAGAGCTGTAGTTTTGATTATAGTTTATGTTCAAAGGCTTGTATTATACACAATGACTTTCTTGATAATAATTATAAACCATCCATTCCAAATAAAAACTTCGTTGCGTAGTTTAGGACCCGTTGTACCGAATGCAATATAGCTCTGCTGTTCCGATTTGAGAAATTATTTTTGTATTGGACAGTGCATTTATAGAGGAAGGCTATAGGCTATAATTATATTAACCAGGACATACGTCCAGTAGCAGCGGAGCATCGATTAAAAATGTTGCAAAAGCGGGTAAAAATAATCCATTGCGCGCTTGGTAAACGGTTATGGGCCTACCACACGCACGAGCTTCACCACAGTTTTGCCTGCGCAGGCCGGTTTGTACACGGAACACGGTGCGTGTAGTTGGTAAAACTGTATCACGCGCCAACCCCACAGCGCGGCCTGCGCATTTTTCGACTTGCTTGAAATTTTGCCTGCGCAAGCCCGGCCTGCGCGTACTTGTCTGTGCGTGTGGTTGGGCGTGGGCCTCGACACAAAGTACACTCGACTGTGGCAGTGTTCAAGCCACAGTCGAGTGTACTTTGTGTCGAGGCTCGCTCGTCGTTTCATGAGGTCGTTCGTCATCGTCACTCAAAAACGGCAGATTTGCGTACGTACAATCGCGAATTCACGTCTGAATTTATTTTTATTAGTTTATACAAATCTCTGCCTGCACTCTGGAAAATTAAATCTAACGATTATTCCGACCGAAATAAAAAGAACGACGCCTACGAAAGAATGATAAATAAAATGAAAGAGGTAAGAACATAATTTTGCAACTAAATACCTATGCCTAATACCTACTACCTACCTACTTGCACATATTATGTACATATCCTATTGTTTTTACATGTTTTTTTTAATAGCAAACACTTGAAAAATAGTAGCATAAGAAATGTTTCTTCATTAGGAAACATTGTTTCCACGCCAATGATTTCGATACGAATGAGGCTTGCGCGTACTTAACTGTGCCGTGTGGTAACGCACAAAGTGTACAGTTTTTTCGTGCGAGATGCTTGCGCAGGCCAAACTGTGGTGAAGCTTGTGCGTGTGGCAAGCGCATTAAAGTTACATAAAAATCATGTATGATGGAATTCTTCCCCTTTAACAGTTATGTAAAACAGACACGACAGCCTATGTCCATATTTAAGATTGACTCACTATAAACCTTTTTCTTCAAATTAACGCGGGTGAAACCGGAGTTGACCTCTAGTTGTGACATAACTGTAATAGTTAGATATATGGTATCGCGGACTTTTTTGTAGATATTAATATCCTCCATAAAACTTTAGTACATCACTTTGCTCTATTGTCAATGACTTCCCCAGCGTACGCGATATAAGGCTTATGTTTTGGTATCATACGGAACCCTAACTTTTATGAAAATACGCTATAGCCTATATCTAGTGATAATGCAGCATTCAAATTGTAAAAGATTTTTTAAAATCGGTCCAATACTTTTTGAGCCAATTCGTTACAAACATACTTACATACAAATTTTTCCTCTTTATAATATTAGTATAGATCATTCTGCAAAAATCAAAGTAAATAATATAAAGTTTTATAGGTAAATCACCCCTTCCATCACCCTACGCCTATGAGTATTACGATATTGTAGCTTAGAACTAAGGCCCATCTATTACTATAGGGAAATTAATCATAATCGATTTAGCTATTAGGGCGCGGAAGCGTGAAAAATAACTCAGTTTCGCATCTATAATATTATATAATACTTACTAGTGATCCACCCCGGCGGCATTGCACGGGCGAAATTAATTTTAACGGGATAAAATGAAGCCTATGTAACTCGGATAAAATGTAGTTATTAAAAAAATACTAGAAAAATTTCCTTTCGGCGAAGTTGTCAGTGTATTTTTTTTTCAACTAAAAGTTTTCTTTACATTTATAAATCGAGCAGATTAATCAAAGGAGATTAATGCTTGAAATATAATAATAAATAATGAAGCCACCTTATGATGAATGAATTTCCGAAATCGGTTCAGTAGTTTGACAGATTATTTTTGTTACAAACATACAACTCTTGCCTCTTTATAATATTAGTATAGATAGTTAGGATAATAATATTTAATTAATGAAAAAGATTTAAAAATAAAGTAAGTAATAGGTTTATTTGATTATATTTGTAATAATGATTTACCATTTTTGGTAAACAGGGATTCGTTATTTATTTATTTTATTCTTCTTTACCAAAATATAGTAAATGGCGGACTTAATGCCATAGGCATTCTCTACCAGTCAACCAGTAAGGGTGTGGGAGACGAATGTTATGGCGATAGAGTGCGAGCTACTAAAGTTATAAAAACATATAATATTATCCTACTTAACTATAATAAACGTAAAATAAATATGATATAATAATCAAATATCATAAATACACATATAAATAAATAGATATATATATATATATATATAATAAACATACACATATAATTATATACATATAATAAACTAGTTAGAAATAACTAATTATGATGTTACAGGTGACTGAAGATTACAGAAATATTAGGTCGACAGATAGTGTGCACGTACTAGATTTTTAAACTCCAACTTTGGAGTACACTGACAACTTCGCCGAAAGGAAATTTTTCTAGTATTTTTTTTATTAAGTACTACATTTTATCCGAGTTACATAGGCTACATTTTATCCCGTTAAAATTAATTTCGCCCGTGCAATGCCGCCGGGGTGGATCACTAGTAAGTATAATATAATATTATAGATGCGAAACTGAGTTATTTTTCACGCTTCCGCGCCCTAATAGCTACATCGATTATGATTAATTTCCCTATAGTAATAGATGGGCCTTAGTTCTAAGCTACAATATCGTAATACTCATAGGCGTAGGGTGATGGAAGGGGTGATTTACCTATAAAACTTTATATTATTTACTTTGATTTTTGCAGAATGATCTATACTAATATTATAAAGAGGAAAAATTTGTATGTAAGTATGTTTGTAACGAATTGGCTCAAAAAGTATTGGACCGATTTTAAAAATCTTTTACAATTTGAATGCTGCATTATCACTAGATATAGGCTATAGCGTATTTTCATAAAAGTTAGGGTTCCGTATGATACCAAAACATAAGCCTTATACCGCGTACGCTGCGGAAGTCATTGACAATAGAGCAAAGTGATGTACTAAAGTTTTATGGAGGATATTAATATCTACAAAAAAGTCCGCGATACCATATATCTAACTATTACAGTTATGTCACAACTAGAGGTCAACTCCGGTTTCACCCGCGTTAATTTGAAGAAAAAGGTTTATAGTGAGTCAAACTTAAAATATGGACATAGGCTGTCGTGTCTGTTTTACATAACTTTTAAAGGGGAAGAATTCCATCATACATGATTTTTATGTAACTTTAACCGTTTACCAAGCGCGCAATGGATTATTTTTATCTGCTTTTGCAACATTTTTAGTCGATGCTCCGCTGCTGCTGGACGTATGTCCTGGTTAATATATCGTCGTTGCCACTTTAAGACCTCCCATGTGTAAAATTCTTCATTGCGAGATATTCAATAAAAACTGTCTACTGAAAAAAATATAAGGAAACAAAATATAACAAAAAATACAAGTGATAACTAGAGGGTTTTATGATTTTTATTTTGCTCTTGTCATTTTAAATAAAAAAGGAAATTGTAGTAAAAAAAATAAAAAAACAATTCATACCTTGAAACTAATGTAAATGTTTGTCCGTAATTTGTTATTGAAACTGCACTTGTGTAATAGTATTTATGTTTGATAAAACTTTGAACACATTGTTGTCCTATTTATGGTTTAATTTCAAAATAAAAACGTTTGCAGTGAAGAATCTTACATAATGTTGTTAGTGTTTCTAATTATACGACCACCACTGTATATAATTGAGAACTTCCTTTTTTAAGTCGATTTAAAATAAAGTATCAGGGACAGGATAATAACTATACTATAGTCAGTACTGCCATGCGCAAAGTTTTAACAAGCGCGGTTTGTTCGATATGGCTACGGAATACTCGGAAGTGTGTGTACTAAGTTTCGCTGCAGTAAGTGCAGTACCGCGCAGATCTGCTGGCGAGTGTTGTATACTCACGACGGGTATCCCGAGCAGGTCGGCTTGCATCTGCATGAGCAGCGAGTTTTGGGTCATGCCGCCGTAGCGCGCGGCGCAGCAGCGTGCAGCTCGCCTCCATAGCGGCCGTCACCGCGCAGTACTGCTGGCGAGTGTTGTATACTCACGACGGGTATCCCGAGCAGGTCGGCCTGCATCTGCATGAGCAGCGAGTTCTGCGCCATGCTGCTGTCGTCCAGCAGGCAGCGCAGCGGCGCGCAGCTTGCCTCCATGGTGTCCGTCACCGCGCAGGTCTGCTGGCGAATGTCGTATACTCACGACGGGTATCCCGATCAGATCGACCTGCATCTGCATGAGCAGCGAGTTCTGCGCCATGCCGCTGTCGTCCAGCAGGCAGTGCAGCGGTGAACAGCTCGCCTACATGGCATCCGTCACCGCGCAGGACTGCTGGCGAATGTTGTATACTCACGACGGGTATCCCGAGCAGGTCGGCCTGCATTTGCATGAGCAGCGAGTTCTGCGCCATGCCACCATCGGCAAGCAGGCGGCGCAGCGGCGCGCAGCTCGCCTGCATGGCGTCCGCCACTGCGCAGGTCTGCTGGCACGCCGCTTCCAGCGCCGCGCGCACTATATGCTCGCGCCGCGTTCCGCTGCTTATACCGCACATCACTCTGCATCACACACATACCGCCTTATTACAGTATTTACTTATATCTATACCTTTAAAAAAATGTTATTTTGTAATTATATAAAGTAGTTATTTTGTTACCTTAAACAAATGTATGAGATCCTAGGGAGCAGCAGAACCACCCAACACAAGCATTACTACATGCTTCCTGGGTAGTTCTGGCCACAGAATAATATTGTAAAGTAAGGTTAACAAAAAAACTATTTTATTTATTGTTTTTCACAAAATGTAGACTAAAGTTAAACTTGGACTAAAGAAGATGCTGTCACTTTTGTTTGCTAAAAAGAAGACGAGAGACAACATTAGGTTTAAACCAAGACTAACTTTAGTCCGCGTTTTGGAATAAGGCGGTTAGAGAATGGACTCAGCAATACTCAAATGACACATCGACAACTATCTAGAAAGGAACAAAAAACATAAAAAGTAACTATTGGCTATGCTATGGCCCACCTAGTCTTAGTAGTACGGCGGGCTGTTTCTGCAACTCGACACCATGTGCCTATTGTGAATGAGGAATGGCATTAGTCTTACGACATCCCAGCTCCTCCAGAAAGCTCAGCAGTCCACGGATGTTGCTGTAGGCTTTTACTAGTGTCCGTGGATTTCCAGTAGAGAGGTCGTTTGTCTTGCAACGCTTCTACACTCCAGCAGAACCTGGATGCTCGTCTCTTCCCCCTCCAGGCAGGCTCTGCACAGAGGGCTGTCAGATGGCTCACCTATTGCTTCGGCTGTCTCAGGATGACTTATATATATTTTGAGATATTACCTAGTAGAACTTACCCTCTGGCATCTTTTCTCCAGTAAGGTGAGTATAGACCGTTAAATGCAGGTACAAAACAAATACTGCCTTCTTCGTCATCCGTCACTTCAGCTGCTTGATTTTCGCTATCACCAACATCATTTAATATTCCTAAGTCCTCTTGGAGCCATCGCAACGTATCTCCTGTCCAAAGTTTTGGTGAATTATTAGAAGATTACAGTTTACTTTTTAGTTTCAAAGTACCAAGCTAAATATATGTCATTAATATTTATTTTGAAATTACCTGCAATTGCCACAGATCCTTCTAGAGCATACACTGGAGGAGAGTTGGGACCAAGTTTATATGCTACCGTTGTTAACAAACCACTGTCGGAATGTACAATTGAATCACCTGAAAGAGGTACATAATATCATTTCTATTTATTACTAATTTTATTGTATTTTTATGCAGTATTTCAGCACCAAATGGGAAAAATGTTATGCCTATGCATAAAATGTTATACATATATTACTAGAAATAATTGATTAGTAATATAATAATAATAAGGTTTAGATTACAGCAACAATCTTCAGATAATTGTTTTATTAATTTTTTTCAAGTGTATTTTGTAGTTTTACATTAACAATTGAAAGGTGAAAAGTACATATGTCTCCAAACCTGTATTGTACAGTAGGAAGCATCCGGTACCAAAAGTACATTTTACTTGTCCAAAGTTCATGCAGCCTTGCCCCACAAGTGCTGCTTGTTGGTCTCCCAAACACTAAAAACAAATAAAATGTTGAAAAGTAAATTTATTAAATAAAACTACTTTTCTATGTGTTCCAAATTGTGAATATAACAGTATGAAAAAAAAATTTTTTTTTTACTTTTTACATTAAAATAATTCTAAGTTTCCTGATTGATTCTTAAAAAACTAAAGTAAACGCAAACGAAGTTGCGGGCGGCCCTTAGTAATGAATAATTTTGGAGTCTTGTGCAGTTCTTATACTAACTCAATTTATATTTACCATAATGTTAAAATGGATGATCTACAATTTTTTTTTCAATAGGAATATTAAAACAGAATGGTGTACAAACTAAATATGCTTTTTCTATTTTAATCAATTCTGGGTAGCTGTAGTAACATTTAATTGCATACAAACCCCACAAATAGGCACACCTAGAAGAGACCCTTTAGCAATATATCCATAAATTTCAGCTGAACTTCTTATCTTTGGTAGAATTTCTACAGGTATATCAAAAAATCTCAATAAGCCTTCATCCCATTGAAGACTTTTTAGTGACATTAGTTGAGTCCTTGATGCGTTAGTCACATCAGTAGCATGGATGCCTCCATGACAACCACCAGTAAGATTCTGGAATATGTTAAATAAATTAATGTCTTTGATTATACACAGCTAGATAGAGTTCCAATATAATCAAATATTATTACATAAAATTTCAAAATATAATCAACACCCCAAGTTAAAGGAAATAAATAATAAAGAATAGTCTTCTTTTTTAGTAAAAGTTTACTATGGTTTAAATTATTCTATAAAATGTGTAATAAAAATTACCCATATCAACCATGAATCAACTGTGCCAGCCATACATTCTCCTGCTCTCACTGCTTCCCTAACAGCTATCACATTTTCTAGCAGCCATTTAAGTTTCACTGATGTAAAGTAGGTAGATAAAGGAAGCCCGCTTGTCTGAACAACAGCATTTAAACATTGTACTCCTTTTCTTTTAGTTAAGTCATCTACTATTTTTGAAGTCCTTACATCTAACCAAACTGAAATAAAATTAAAATATAGTGAAATTATTGAGTTTTGTTAATACTAAGCTAAGTAAAGTCAGGCAACAGTATTAACGGATGAATGGTAACACTAAACATATTAGACATAAGAATATTTAAATTGTGAGCATTATTTGTGTACTTGCTTGCTTATGAAATAGTGTGTGTACCTATGGCACTATATAGAGGTTGCCCCGTGACTGAGTTCCACACTATGCAAGTTTCTCTTTGGTTTGTGATGCCAATGCCAACTACATCTTCTGGATTTATATCCAATTTTTTCAAATTGTCTACTGTTACCTAAAAAAGAGTGTAAAGAGGATTACATAAAATGAAATATAGTACCTTAACAGTTGTAGCATAGGTTTATGTTTTAAAATATTGTTAATGTTACCTCAATACATTCAATGACAGCAGCTAGAATTTCTAAGGCATCTTGTTCAACCCATCCTTCTTGTGGACTAAATCTCCTTAAAGGTAATTGATGGTAAGTCAGTACCTCTGATGTGTTTGCAGCAAATACCTGATGAAGAATCACGTCACAATAGCTCATTAATATATATGATGGTGATATTCAATAAATAACAGAAGTGCTAATTTTAAGTTCTATTAAACAAATACAGTGGATATCGACCTTAGAGTGGAGTTTATTACGACCTTGGTTGTAGTGACCGTTTACTTATTGCGACGTTAAATATAAGTGCCTTGAAATTAAAGCATACTTTAGTACAAAATTCATCTGGCTATAGCGACTTTGGATGTAACGCCGTGTTCAGTGTAGCGACTGTTTTAATGGCCAGCAAGTGTGAAGAGCTTTGTCTTTTGTTTATAGATATAAGCTAAGTAGGTAGGAAAGCGTGTCTGAGTAGCAACTGGGTTTAGTAAACTTTTGAATAAGTATGCCTGCCAGACACACATTCAGTTACAGAAAAGGCGAAAATCATTTATAAATGAATATAAACTATACATATATATGTGTCTTTATCTCTTTACATTTACCTTTAACAACTTTCGGATATAACAACTAAAATAGAGTCCTGTCTCTTTCCAGGTTATAAGCTGTTTGTAAAATTACATCAAATCCATTCAGCTGTTTTTGTGTGGTTCGGTAACAAACATACAAACTTATACATTTACAATATTAATATTTAAATTTATTTTAGTGAATAAGATATTTTTTATTGAGATAATTGTTTAAGTTTACTAACCAGAAATTTAACATTAGAAGTTCCCTCGTCAATTGCTCCAATAAGGGGGCCGAACCTACCAAATTCTCGCATAATATTTTATTTATTTTACTACATAATGTTCAGAAAAAAAAACTTTTCTAGTAAATCAGCTGACTGCGTGATTGATTGAGATGATGAATTGTTGTTGTTGATTATCTGTACCACTGTACTCCAAAGAGTAGTATTTATATTATCTGTACTCTGTGAACCCCATTCTAAAATCGAATTGAAGATCGATACTTAAGAAATAGTGGTGTTGATTCTGGCATGATTCTCTAAACTTAAAGTACATCGGCATCGGCCTAATCATATTTGGATCAAAGCTTAACGTCTAGAATAGACATTTTTACTAATATTATTAATGAAATAAAAACAGTTTTTACAAGTTGTAATTGATACAAATAAAAGTCGAGTAAAATAATAAAACACTGCATTGACGTGTATCCTAACTTGTCCTATTTGCTAAACAATCTTAGCACTCCTTTTTATTAAATTGAACGCTGTTCTGGTCAAGTGGACGTGAGAATTTTATTGTAGTGTTGGCTACCTCACAGAAGTTTTTAGAAAAGCCAACTCGATGCATTTCGTGCCAAACATTCCAATAAACAATAGAATGCGTCATACCGACATTTTAATGTAAAAAAAAGAAAATAAATAAACTGAAGTCCAGGCTGTATGGGCATTGCTTTCTTTGCCTTCCCTGAAAAGCAAGAATAAAAAAGAAAATAACAAGTCATTCATGTTTGGGTTTTTGGTGGGATTTCATTGAGAAAGGTTGGCGTCTTATTTTAATTATTCTTAAAATTGTTCATTCTGGATATTGTGAAAAAAAATTGGTGTGATGTTGTCTTACCACCGTCTATGTAACTGAAGAATTAGTGGAATCTTTAAAATAAACGCTATTCCGGTCAAGTGAACGTGAGAACTTTATTGTAGTGTTGACTACCTCACAGAAGCTTATCGAAAAAACCAACTCGATACATTTCGTCTCAAACACTCCAAGAATCATTAGGATGCGTCAAAAAAAGATTATTAAAATTGAAGACTAGGCTGTATGGGCATTCTTTTCTTTGCCTTCCCTGAAAAGAGAAAATTAAATAAAACATTCATGTTTGTTTTGACAATTTGGTTGGTATGCCTTGGCATTCAAATAATTTATATTATATATTGTAAGTATCAGTAATTATTCTAAGACATAAACACATAATAAAAAAACAATTTGTGGGCCAAACAACTTAACGTAGGTTTGTACCTCTGATTGATGGTACTATAAAACTTAAAATGTTGTCAGCTATTAAGTTAGTGATTTCAGAAAATGGAAAATTGTTGGAATCTCTAAGTAAAGATACGAGTACGCAGCCTTCACACCTTATAAAGAATTTGGAAGATTTTCAGCAATCCGCTAATGCTGCGCTCACAAAACTCATAGAAACGAATGGAGAATCAGGTTCTTGAAATAGTGATTCTATCTTGATAGTTTAATACAAATCAAAGAAATGTTGTAGACTACGTGTGCTATTTTATTTTCTTAGAGTTAGTTTAAAGACATATGCTTCTGAATGTACATACCGTCACCCGACAGATTAGCAGAGCTTCAAAGGTACAACTTGAGAGTAAAAAAAAGATAAAATTTCTCTCATGGAAATTCCTACACAGTAACCATACCACAATTGACATTAATTAATGTTTGTCTGAATACTTTTACTATTTGCAGTGGAAAGTAAACAGCCATTCTTGAATGGTACATATGAGTGTACTTTGATTATATTGTTAACTTTACAATGACATAATAAAGTTATCCTTTTCTATGCAATGAAAATGAAATACAAAAGTACCTACACAATTTCTAATTTATCAATACAAAAAAATATTTTTTGGTCCTTTGGGTAATTGTGTAAAGTACTCACTCATGTGATTTCAATATTTTTTTTGATTTCAGTGTTTTTATTTAACTTTTGCTTAAAAATCTTATGAATGATTCGTTTTACAGGGACTTTATCTGACAATACAGACAGTGGTGAAGATGATGACGAGGAAAGTGAAGATGAACAGATTAGCCCAAGGAAAAGAAGGAAATGAAATAAATTGTAGTAATTAAAAAATAATATACAGTTTACTCTTTATATTATTGTATTATACTGTTTGTTTGTAATAAATAAAACTGTAATAAAGTTATATTTTATTTCATATTTATTAGCATGTACTTGAAACAATCAATGGTAGATTATATTATATATTTACAAGTATCATATTTACAGTTACAAGTAATTTTTGTTTAATTATGCCATTGTACTTATTCTAAATTCTTTATCACAAATCAATTCTCTTCTGGTAAGTAAGAAACCATAGCTTTGTCCTACTAATATTGAATTTATCAGCTTAGGCGACTTTGATATCTTATTATTTACTTAGAATAATGATAATAAATAAATGTCTACATACTTAAAATGACAAAGGTAATATAACTTTTTATGGAATGTTCTTCATCACTAGTTCCAATTTGATCACAAATATTTTACTTATTAAACCACATTTATTTTAAATTCAGTTGGTGATTATTCTAAAACAGTATGCTGAATTGGTTTGGACCATTGCTGTTATTAAACTCAAGTTTTACAACAGCCTGCTATAACAGTTATATAACTGCCGTCAAATATAGGCAGTTATAAAGCTATATTTTTTTGGCAGTATGCATTATTATATAATGTTAAGTAGTTGTACTTTTTCAAAGATAATAAGTAGTAATACTTAGTTGTTATTTGCTTAAAAAATAGTTTATTACTTCAATGTTGACCTTGTTGCGTTGGGTCATATCAGCTTACTGCATATAATACTTTTGTAACAGTAAGTAGATGTCAATGATCACGTTATTTTCTTTACAGTTGACGTGAATAAGATGCAGCGTAAGGTACAAAACATATCAATATATAATAATAAAAATTTCTCTAAAAACTAATTAGGTCCATAGGTCACACATAGTGCGAACATAATTAGACTCCCAATTTGAGATTCCGTAGCACTAAGTGTTTGATTACATTACAGTTATATGTAAAGACTGCCATGGTTGCGAAATACCGGGCGTGTCATCATAATAATACGTAGATAGATAAATCAATAGTTTATATTATGTTGCTTTCAACAATACAGCTACGGAATTCAATATTTCTCTTTTTTTCCACAAGTTTTGAAATAATTTAACCTACCTACCTACTTACTCATAGTATGTATCTATTAATTTACACGCACAAAAGTGTAGGTAGCCTACCCCACCTATTCTGGTAAAGGTTCGTTATCTTAAATGATTTAAAGTGTTCACTTTGAGTATAGTAAATTATGTCACTGTCGGTTTAAATTGTCACAGTCAAACTGTAGAATTCGCCATGTTACATTTCGGCTAACTCTTTAAATAAACCCGAGAGCAAGAACTAGTTGACGTTCCATGGCGCAAGATTTTAAAATACCCCCCTGGCTTCACGGCAGGTGAATAGTTTTGTAGTTAGATTTTAAAATACCCCTTTGGCTTCACGGCAGGTAATAGTTTTGTAGTGTCAATAAAACATTGTTTTATTTTGTTGCGAATTCATCAGGTACCTACTATGAGGCTAAACGTGTGCTACCATCAGATATTTAAATCTCTGGTCGCCATATTGCAGTATTAGTCCCAACGATTTCTCAGCGTACTTTTCGTTCAACCCATATAAAAAAGGCTCCGTTTTTTAGAACTGCTTATCGGAATGAGGCAATTTACAATTCGACTGCGACTTCACCATTACATGATTATTGTTTAAGGTCGAGTGCGGTCTCTGCTTGATTGTAAATTAATGATAAAGTGATGGAGACTGCCTTGTTCTATTATCATTGCCTTGTTTATTCTTGGTATCATAAAGTAACTATCTACCTACATACCTACATGACTTGGTCATATTATGTGATATTCGTTTGTGATAACTTATGGACTATTACCTACATAGATATAGATTATTCACTATATCTGTTTTTTTTTTAAATCTGCACTCCTACAATTTTATTAAATTATTCTATGGATAAACTGACTAGTTTATATTCGTTTTGTCGTCTGGGGGTTCAGAGTCGGAGTAGCATATGTCACAACCACTAATGCCGCAATCGCACATCGATGCTGGTCGTATTGAGTGACGGAATTTCTGAAAAAGAAAGATTACAGCTTATTTATCTTATCGGTTTCTATCCAATATACCTACTGAGATGTTATCACTGTAGTAAGTACAACACTGAAATGACATCGACGTAACTTACAGCTAAAAATAATAATAATCATTTGATTCGATAAGTTCTTTAATGTATGAATCAAACAATTTATTAGCGGCAGAGAAACAAAGGGGCGACAATACCTACTTATTCATATGAGTCAATATCTTTTTGTTCATCAAAGACAGATTTATTCACTAGCTGTTTCTATTTTGAAAATTAAATAACTAAACAAAAATCTGTGTCAGTACTTTCGTATTTCAACATGATGTTTGTACTTTACACCTACCTACTCAATTCCGTATGATCATGAATCATAACAAAGGACATGCATGGTTTCAACCACGACTAGCATTTTTACATTCAATTTGACCTAGGACGGGATTCATTGTCACCATTACTGTTTAAACGATTTAACACAACAAATAACAATTTTATTGTTCCCAACTACTTACTTCTCCTATAGTAATGCCCGGCGCACGTACAACTGTCACTACAGCATATACAGGGATGCACAGGAGAGACAGCGAGGCTATCGTCCAACCCATCACTTGTGCCCAAGCAGGATACGAGTATTGCCGGTAGGTGGGAGGAGTGTAGTCTACTAAACTAGCCACCCATAGCGCCAGTAATAACGCTGGCGCCGCTATTAGCCAGCAAAACCGGAAGTAAAATGACGGATACTGGCCTGAAACAAAGAACATGAATTCTCTTGACGAAATCAAGATGGTTTTGGGACCACTTATCCGGAATATCACTTTTTATTCCATCAACACAGCCGAGAGTCAAAGGTCAGTCTTGAAGTCGGTTGTGTTCGCATCTCTGAGATGATCCGATAAATTAGAGATCGAAGCTTTGTTGACTAAATACAAAACTTTTTCTGTAGCCGTGTACCTACAGACTGCCACACACCATGTTACCATAAACTGTCAAAACGTTAATAAACTGCAATGTACGTTTTTTTTTTCAATGAATTGTGAATATCAAGCAACATAAAACTCAAAGTCAGTTGGAGAAATATTGCATTCATGAGAAACTTCAGCTGTGGCTCTCTGTACATTGACTCAAGTTTGTATGACTCTTACCCTATTTGTTTCTGATTTTGTTAGCACAAATTGCTTTTGCTACTTGCCCATCTAACCAATTAGAGCAATGCAACTAATGCGTTGTTCATCAAGTAGGATTATACAATAGCGAAAACCTATTGTTTTAATTTGCTGTTTTGATTGTTTACTTAACACTTATTGATCTATATTACGGATGGAGCAATGTTTCACTAGAAAAGGTGTGAAAAGTAGGTTAAACCATATTGCATTACAAAAGGACAATCATTGAGTACTGGCGGATGTGGGTACCTATATGTGTATGTTTACAGAGCGACAAAAAGTGATTATCTTCATTGCCCATCGTCATCATATGGACGGATACTCACAGAGCTGAATATGAATGAATTGCCTCGTTCAGTCAGCGGTCACGAGGTCCACACGTTCATTATATTCAGTTTAGTTAGATACACACATCAAAAGTGTCTAGGGATCAAGCATTTTTATGCGGATTTCTTGAGATTGAGATGTGGCTTTGTAATAAATTTATGATTTTATAAATTTATATGGATCCTTTTTGGTGCATTTCATAATTTGAATCAGGAACTGTGAATCAAATTCGAATAAAAGATGAAAATCAGCTGTCAATATTTTCCCTATAAAAACATACAACGCATTGAAGACATTATTAGTGCTACTGTTTCCCTACTACTGATTAAAACCAACGTTATTATGGAGCGGCGACGTCATTTAAGCAGGGAAGAAATGCTCAGAGCCGTGGGAATGATAGAAGCTGGTTCCCGGCAACGTACTGTGGCTTTAGCTCTGAATACAAGTCAGAGTGTTATCAGTCGACTTTGGACACGATACCGAAGCACTGGTACCGTGGCTGAGCGCCATGGAGGACGGTATCGCTGCACCACACGGAGACAAGACCGATACATTCAAATCTTAACTCGAAGAGCTCCAACAATAACCGCCATGATGTTAGCCGTGAGGCTTCATCACTCTTCAGGGAACTTAATTAGCGACCAAACAGTCAGAAACCGTTTGCATGAAGTGAACCTTCATTCCCGAAGACCGCTACGGGTACCACCTATAGCAATGCACAATCGTAGGATTCGATATCAATGGGCTCTTGAACACAGAAATTGGGCAGAAGAACAATGGCGTTTCGTGTGCTTTTCTGATGAGTCTCGTTTTGGTATGAGACCGGATACAAGACGTATACGACACTGGAGAACCCCTGGACGCCAACAGCGATTAAAATCCTGCCAGGAAGTCCATCCTTATAGTGGTGGAACCATCATGGTATGGGCGGGTATTTGGATCGGCGGAAGAACTGAGTTGATTTGGATCAGAGGCAACCTCAACGCTCAAATTTATGCTGAGACGATTGTATCAGACGTCATCGTTCCTCTACAAGTGCAAATCGGTCCCTTATTTCAGTTAATGCATGATAATGCACGACCGCACACCGCAAGAGTTGTAAGACAGACTCTCGCCGCAGCTAACATCAATGTCCTGCCCTGGCCTGCTCAGTCGCCAGACTTGAACCCGATTGAGCATGCATGGGATATGCTACAGAGAAGAGCTCTGCCGAATATGGAGGGTATCCAGTCGCAAGAAGACCTTTTTTTGTTGTTGCAACGAACATGGGCGGCCATTCCACAGCGTGATTTGGATGAACTCATTTTGAGTATGCCAAACCGATGTTCTTGTGTTGTTAGTGTTCGCGGTAGAAATACGGATTATTAATTGTTTAAGTTACCCAATAAAATTTTAGAGAAAACTGTTATTTCAGTCTTTTTTTCGAACTTTTGTGTTAGTGGTTCAAATGTCAAAAATCCCTTTATTAGGAAAATGGCAAATTTCTTTATTAATGCAAAGGTGACTTGGTTTATCGTTACTGTGACAAACGAAAACACTTTATTTGATGAATCCTTAAAGAAAATTTTAATTAATATCAATCAGGAGAAAAGTTATTGCAAAAATATATGTTGATCCCTAGACACTTTTGATGTGTGTATAATGTAGTACTGGCATACATACTATCTACACTTTACCTATACCGATAAATTATTGGTAAAATATTTACCGTTAGGTGCCTATTCTGTAAGCACTAAGTTAGGCCCGTATTAATAGAACGTTCTACTCAACTACTACTTCAACTCTGAGATCGTTCTTGAGATGCTGTTTTGTATGAAAACAATATCTCAAGATCGTTGTCTCAGCGTTGAGACCGTTTATCTAAGTAACTGTATTAAATTAAATGTAGAATCACTAAGTAAAATCAATATTCTAACAGACATTTTATAAGTTTTATTTTCCTTACTGGAACATACAAATACTTTCTTAATTTCATAAATATATAAATTACTGACCTGTCATTTGTTTAATATTATTTGATAAACGTCCGACACCATAAAACCACGCTATGGCGACTACTTCGAAGAAGGCGAGGTACGTAATGCTGAGAGAAGCAGCGTAGTAGTCCATCAGTTGGAAGACGTATATTCCACTGTGGAGTATGTGAGGTAATCCAAACATCAAGGACACTACACAAACGCAGAGAACTAGCAACTCGTGGTATACGAGTCTCTTACGTATCATTTCTGGAAAACCGTCTTGTATTGAAGTCACAACTACTTCCACTATTGCAAACTGAAAATCGAAACAAATATAATTTAGTTAAGATGATACACAGTTGGATATTATATGAATCGACCGAATGGAATGTAGAAGTACTTCTTACCTGGCTATTAAGGCCGAGACAAAGGAACATGAAGAAGAATAGAACAGCCCATAGTTGTGACGCTGGCATTTTCGCTATGGCTTGCGGATATACAACAAACAACAATCCCGGACCTGAATGCAAGAATAATTCATTTTGATTTAAATCACTCATATGATATCCAATGAACAGCTTAGGATAATAAAGGTTTCCAATTGACCAATTGTATTGAAAATGAATTACGACAAATACTCACTATCGGCGATAACATCCTTCACACTAGTGTTTTGTTCAATGGCGATGTTGCCAATCGTAGCAAATGTGAATATTCCTACAATGAGACTGGTGATTGCGTTGATCAATGACACGGCTAATGTGTCGTGAAGGAAGTTGTTGTCGAATCGATTGTATGAGGCAAACATAATCATTGAGCCGAATGCTACTCCAATAGAGTTGAAGATTTGTGATGCCGCATTCACCCACACCCTCGATTGTTTTAGCAGTTCCCAATCGGGTTTGAAAAAATATCTCAATCCAACGTTTGCTCCGTCCAGTGTTAGTGATCGACCCAAAAACACTATTATCAATAGAAACGGCAGTGTTGTGGTGATGTAACGAACTTTAGCAGATGATTTGATACTTTTCCATAGGGCGAAGTAGACCAGCACCCAAGCACAGACCAAGCAAGCCGCTAGTTCCCACCGCATTCCACCAGGAAACTCAATACCGGGGCTCACATTTAAAACTTTTTTTCTGGAATTAATATAAATTGTTACTTTTAACAGTTGTTAATTCAGTTGAATTGATTTGTCATATTTGTTTATGTAATAAAAATGTATAGGTATGTGAGTAAGATATAATATGAAATTATATATATAAAAATGCCCCTTGTGTTGTGTGCCCCTAAAATCAAACCTTACTCGAAAAATTGTTCAGTGGGCGTCTGTGATCCGTTTGGCTTAGTATGGTTGTGGAACGGAACCCAGCAGTGGGCTGTGTTCCATCTATTCGAGCAGCTAGCCCACGGCACTTCAGATTTAAACGACGTGAAGAAATAGTATATTGCCCACGCTATGATTACTGCGTAGTAAGTAGACATTACGAAAGAGATCACTACACTTGCTAGACCAGCACCTATAAAGTTAAAAAAAATAGTATTAAGTTACCTACCTATATACAATTACAATGTCTCAGATATTTATAGATTGTCAATATCTCTTGAAAAATATAAAAATCTTCAAAAACAAGCAAAAGTATAATAATTTTATTTAATATTTGTCTTGTACAAAAGCTTAATTATTTTTCTTTACAATACCTTTGAATAGCGGACATATTTGCGATAACGCCCCGATAGGTCCGTGCGCTGTATACTGTCCGATTGCCAACTCCATGAAGAGCATAGGCACACCGCACACAATGAGTATTATGAAGTAGGGGATGAGGAATGCGCCTGAAACAAAAGATTTAAATGTGAATGTGAATTGCCCGCCATCTGTTTTTGCCATCATCATTAGGGCCAAAATATCTGATACCAATGAGATTGCTGTTCGATACATTATGTAAGGACGACCGCTTGGTAAATAATTTTGTTATTCCTACTAGTGGTAAGTTTGGAAGATAAAACATGAACTGTTTATTCGAAGAACGTCGGTGGAATTATTCTTAAAATACTTTGGCTGTACCGAACCGATGTAATTAATTATCATGGTAATTACGACCGATTGGTAAATAATTTTGTTATTCCTAGTAGTAAGTTTGGAAGATAAAACATGGGCTGTTTAGTCGAAGAACGTCGGTGGAGTTATTCTTAAAATACTTTGGCTGTACCGAACCGATGTAATTAATTATCATGGTAATTACGACCGATTGGTAAATAATTTTGTTATTCCTAGTAGTAAGTTTGGAAGATAAAACATGGGCTGTTTAGTCGAAGAACGTCGGTGGAGTTATTCTTAAAATACTTTGGTTGTACCGAACCGATGTAATTAATTATCATGGTAATTATGGCACCAGGAATATACATACTTATACGCATGACGCTGTCTCTACTAAGCGTACCTATTGATCAAAAGAATGATTACTCATAGTACACTAAAGTTACTTGAAGGAGTCACCTTTTACAATAATTAATACGTTTTTTTTTTCTTCTGTCCATTTTTACCAACTTTTTACTGTTAGTTTCGAAGTGACACAGGATATCGATTACTCGATTAGGTATGCTGAACTCTGGATTTTCCAATGGTTTCTTTGTCTTAAAGTTCTTTTTAACTAGGTAATTGCATAGCAAAATTTCTATTCTATATATCTATCTATATTTACTTTGCAAAATTTTGTTCATATGAAATTATTGCTGGCACACTTACTTTTCCTGCTTTGGTAATTTCCCTTGCTGCAGCTTTTAGTCATTTGATAATGTCTTTTTACCTGAAATGCTATTATTGACTGATTACCTTACCACCTGGTCTGGTGCACCTTTTCCATATATTCTGACATTATTATGATGAAAGTTACTGATTCATTATTTTCTCAACGAGATTTTTTACATAAAAGAGATATGAGTTATCTTTCGCTATTTACGTTACAGTAAAACCGACTAAAACAACAATAATGGGACAATTTATCAATATTTATAGAGTAGAGTTCAATGCTAAACCAAGGTTTGCGCTTTCACGGCAAAAACGACGCCATTCCTTCCCCTTCCTTCTTTAGGGCACTATATTGGCGCTACAAAGCAACTTCACCATACTCGATGGTATGGATATGGTAGTTCGTTTAGACCTCAATCCAAAGGGCTACCTACATCGAAACCATGATCAAAACTTCTTCACGAAAACTCGCGAGTCTTAAACAAAGTGCGGCGTTGTTTCACGCCCGATAAACTGGTTCTTGTTGTACAATGCACAAGTGCGGTCCTGCGTAGAGTTACCAACTTCTTTTCTATCAAATATAGTATTTTCGAAGCTTTTACCTCTAAAAATATAGTAGCTGGCCAAAAAAATATAGTGGTGTCGATTCTAGCATGATTGTCTAAACCTAAAATTAAATTTGACAACACTATATCCTTGTCATTCTTTAAAAAGAATGAAAAGGAGAGACTGATTTTAAATTTAGTTTTAAGTTTAGAGAATCGAGTTTAAAGAATCGATGTGTATGTGGTAAAAATATTTACTTTGTTTTCTAAATGAAAATATTTTTGCTGCTCTTTGCCTCACTTATTTAATTTTCAAGAAAGCTTTTACTTCTTAGGTTTTCACACACACTAGTCAATAAATAAAACAAGTTTCAATGGTATAAAGGGCACTGATTAATTTATTTATTGACGTTTCGCATCCTTTTCAGACTGCGTAGTCAGAATTATGATTTTCTTAAGCTTTTACTGGCAAAACTGCTTTAAGCAAAATATAGTAGTTTCGTATACTATTTTTATTGAAATAAAGTGTTTGATCCCCTACTATAGTAGGATACTACATAATGTAGTAGGGTTGGCAACCCTAGTCCTGCGTGAAATAATGCTCGCGCCTCTGCTCTGGGATGACTCCGCCAAGTACTTACGCATCATTGGCGATGAGGAGGTGACTAAACACCTCGAGCCTCTTCAATTACGCCATGATGTGGCGTCATTTAGTGCGTTTTATCGTCTATTAAATACCATGGCGAGTGCTCTGAGCAGGGGCCGCTTCGTTGCCCCAGGGATTCCATTCCTCTATCCAGCCCTGGTTTTGAGTAGTTATTTTCCAGTTGCTTCGTATGACCACGCGGGCTGGCTGACATTGTCCCGTACCCGTAAATAGAATGCTCTGCCCGCTCACTTGTTCTCTTCCTTCTACAATCCGGGAAGGATCCCGGGAAGGTTCAGAGAACAAAGAGATATGAAGAAGAAATGTGTTATAACACTGGTAAGTGAGAATGGCTGGTGTGGCTGATAACCCTTCTGTACCAGTTATCTTCGCACCAGGACTCTACCTTTACTTCAAGTGGGGTGGGGTGGAGTAATTTCGTCGGAACTAAGTTTCAAAAAAACCGTTTAGTGGTTAATCTTGGGTTATTTATATTAAGTCTTGGTTTCTGTACTTAGTCATATAAAATTTTTCTACAATTTAGTATTTTAGTATACAGTGTGGCCGGGGAGTTGACGTTCAAGCGTAAAATTTAGATACCTTATGATGAGGAGTATCCAAATCACCCCCATGTATGTTCTACGATTTTGCGTAGTTTTCGAGTTATAATATGTTTAATGACTTTTTTCGTAATTTTCACCTAACATCCGTTTTCGATTTTTTTCTCATTCTGTTGGACGTTTCTGGTTCAGTTTTTTTGTGATAATTGACTAACATAGTCTAACCCAGCGCCCTGAAACTTATGGTTTATCTAGGCATTGCAGAATTCACTTAGAATTTGTTCGAAAGTTCAAAATTACGATTTGAGCTCAGTACACACAAATTTTCAAAGTATCAAAAAAATGTAATTGGGGGGATTTGGAGTTGAAAGTGTTTTTAGAAACTTCCTGAGACATTAAACTTTAAAACAAGGCCAAATAAAGATAGGGTTAAGGGGGTTTATTTTCTGTAACTGACCTTCAAAGTAAATTAAGGCTATTTCAAAGGAAAAAAAATAATTATTTTATTTTATTTAAATCTTTGACAAAAGTTTTTTAGAAGACAATCTACCCATATTACTGGAAGATTTAAATCTTGAATTAAGAAGAACGACGGTGTTCCAGAACAACGGAGTACCATGTCATTACGCGATACAAGTGCGTCGTCATTTAGACCAGACCTACCCCAACAGGTGGATCGGACGACGAGGGCCAATTGCCTGGCCACCACGCTCGCCTGACCTCAACCCTATTGATTTTTTATCTGGGGCTACTTTAAAGAAATTGCGTACGCCAGAGAAGTTTCGAGTGAAGAAGAACTGAGAGCAAAAATTCGCGAAGCTGAAACCACTGTGAAAAATAACCGTGAAGCTTTTAGGCACCTAAAACATATTTTTAGCGCAGATGTAGATTGTGTATTTCTGTGGGAGGGCGAAATTTTGAAAATTTGCTTTAAATAAATGTAAACAATTAACTACGTTTTACTCAAATCCATCATAACTCATAGAAAGTCAAAGATTTAAATAAAATAAAATAATTATTTTTTTTCCTTTGAAAATGCCTTAATTTACTTTGAAGGTCAGTTACAGAAAATAAACCCCCTTAACCCTATCTTTATTTGGCCTTGAAAGTTTTAAAGTTTAATGTCTCAGGAAGTTTCTAAAAGCACTTTCAACTCCAAATCCCCCCCTTTACATTTTTTTTGATACTTTGAAAATTTGTGTGTACTGAGCTCAAATCGTAATTTTGAACTTTCGAACAAATTATAAGTGAATTCTGCAATGCCTAGATAAACCATAAGTTTTAGGGCGCTAGGTTAGACTATGTTAGTCAATTATCACAAAAAAACTGAACCAGAAACGTCCAACAGAATGAGAAAAAAATCGAAAACGGATGTTAGGTAAAAAATTACTAAAAAAAACTTTAAACATATTATAACTCGAAAACTACGCAAAATCGTAGAACATACATGGGGGTGATTTGGATACTCCTCATCATAAGGTATCTAAATTTTACGCTTGAACGTCAACTCCCCGGCCACCCTGTATAGTCTTCAACACGAAAGAAAGTTAATAGTTAAAGAATATGAGTCGCAATGTTTTGTTTTTTTAAAGACACGTGGAATAACAAAAGCATTTGCCAAAGTCAACATATGGACGATTTAAGTACACATCGCTTTACTGTTCTTAAAAATATTCATTAAAATCCTCGTGATGTCTCATTTGAAAAACACTTGCTAGCTGTGACCTTCAGAATATATTTATATCTAAGGAAATAAGTTCAATGTTATAAACAAAACATGAGCGTCCTAGTTTTCTTATGTATCTAGAGATAACCATTCATCTAGATGTTTCGTGTACCTGTTGTCATATTACTACATGTCCTTGATACCAATTAATTGACCCACAGGAACCGGTAATTAACCCACCCATTTGTAAAAAGGATAATTTGTTTTCTTGTGAAGTTGAAGCCGTAGCAATAAGTCATTTCAAACAAAAATATAACAGTCCAGATAAGAATGGGCGACCTTTTATCAGGATTAGAGACAGAATCCATGTTTGGACTAACAATAATGAATATAGGAAAGTTACTATTTAGTATCTTATAATTAAGGGTAAAATATTTTATGTAAGGTAGTCAAAATAAGTAGTGTACATGTATAGTGTATATAAAAAAAGTGTTATCCCCTATATGCAAAAGAAACGAATAATAGAATAAAGCTGTACTTAATATTAAAAATAGCCTATATACCTACCGGTTATTTTTGAATAAAGATTTTTTACTTGATACCTTCTGTTATGTTGCGTTATTCGCACTATTTCCAGTAAAAAGTATTGACTGGAAATATGGAATGAGCTCATAACTTTTTCTTAGTATTTTGAAACAGAAGAATGAAGGAAAATGGTCTCTGTACTGTTTGAGGGTCGGGCATTTTGTCACAAATGTATGTATTACAATCAGTGTCGTCTTTGACGTATTGGAGGCCCTGGGCATATTACGATTATCGGGCCCCTATGACCCCCGTTTGGTAATTTAACAGGGACTAGGGACTTTGTATTTGATCTGAAGGGGGCCCCTATCGATCGCGGGGCCCTGGGCACTTGCCCAAAGTGCCCACTGGGAAAGAGGGGTCTGATTACAATTTAGTTCACTCACTGGACTACTTTTGGGTGACTTTGGATTTGCGGTGGTAGAGCTTCGTAGTCCATTCAATTGTGTGCAGATAATATATAAATGAAAGTAATTAATTCGATGCTACTACATCTTCGACTATAGACAACCTTTATATGTAATAAATTTAGTTTAATAAATCTCTATTTAAGTAAGGCTTATAGACACCGTACACAAATAATTATTTTGTATCGTTAACATAACAAAATCACACAGTGATTTGCTTATTTAGCTATAGTTATTGTATTTCATCTGTCATACACAATTGGAGTCCATTGGTTATTTAATCACGCTTGTAGACTAACAATATCCAGTGAAATCGTTTCCCCAATAGTGTTGGCATTTGAATGTTAGGTATATATACTTACCTATTTTTTTTGGATGTTCAATTTTTTTTGTAATAGTTAATGTTGTCACTTTCTAATTTCATTGCGATAGCTTGAGGAAATCAATTATTTAAAATAAGTTTATTCATCTTAAGCCTTTACAGGTACTTAATGACGCCATTTTTATTTACATTTATAACGACACAAATGTATTATAAGTCATAGAGGCAGAAATAAACATTAAAAAATATAATACCAATAAGTATAAAATTATATAACAATTAGTAAATAGCCAGCGCAGAGCAAATCAATAGATAATTTATATGCACTGAACCTGAATTTTACAAGTTTTTATTGTAAATGCTTCACCATCTCAGAGGATTTTTTTATCTAATTTAAATGTAGTAGCAGCAGATAAGATAATTAAATGTGACAACATACTTATATTTATATTTTCATTTACTCTGTTTAAAGCATTTAATTTAATTGAGATCACTGGGTGCGGCCATTAATCCCACCCTGGCTGAATTCGTAGATAAAGCCTACTAAAAGGTGAGTTTCGAAAATAATTATAGTAGGGATTGTTGGCAATGGACGGCAATTTTAACCACTAATCTTATTATGTCATTGCATAATGACGAGTGTAGTTTTAGTTGTTTTTATAATTTTTCTACCAAGCTTCACCGTTGAAGCCCTCACAGTCCCATTTTACAAATGTTATACAATGTTTTCTGGTGATACCAAATAAGTTGGTTGTTAGGAACTTAAATAAACAATGATGGGTGGTACAATTTAAAAAATCCATTCCCAAGCATTGTGAGGTTATTTGTTAGGTATAATAATAAAGGTAGGTACCTATATGATTTGAGCTTATGTGTAAACTACCTCATTTACTGCAGTGTGAGTGTGACACAAACATACGACCGTTGTCGGCTTGTCGGTCAGTCAAGATCTATTCCGTATCTACCTAACATTTGCACAGGTACTTATTCTTGACGTGTTTATAAGATTAGAGATTATTTTATTGTAAATGTAGATTTGACAATGCTGCGGATTTTTATGATATAACGGTTTTTGTTATAACTATTGCGACCAGCGAGGTCGCTGAGATTGTGTACCGAAATGTTGAGTATTTTGATAATGACACGAGATTCGAAAAAGTGTTAAATGAAGGAAATTTCCCAAAAACTAAAAAAAACCTTTTTAAGTTCTCAGATATAGATTACGTCAGTCACGCTCATGCCTCAGAGGAGTAGACAGATAGATACATGTTCTGTTCTGAGGGCCGTACTCTTAACGACAAATTTATACCTATCCAGAGAGTTAGAAATTGACGATGATGACGATTGTGCATGATACTTGACAAGTATATCAACTTAAAGAGTACTTAGGTCTAATCCTTCCTAACTCCTGAGCTCCATGACACGCAATTTTCGCTTTTATGAAGCTCTAATCCAATAAGTGATTTCGGAATTTATCAATTGAACTCTATAATGACAAACACTGGGTTTAACGCCGATTATCCTTTAACAAAGGGACAAATATAGATTTCTTACTTTTTTTAAGCCTGTCAAAAACATTTATTGTACATACGCTAGAAAGAGATGGATATCTGTAATCAGAAACATAAATTAAATTTAAAGCTTGTCTTAGAATGGTAGTCACTGCTAATTCTATAGCTCTGTAATAAAAAAAAGAATCTGTCGTTACTAAAAATTAAAGTATATATATATATAGCATTATGGGTAATGATTTATTGTCATCTTAATATATAAAAAAACAGAAATGTATGTTGAACCCATACGTATACTATAGAATAGAATATAAAGATAACAAGAAAAATGTCGACATTATCGAGGTGAATTCGTGCGTGGTTAATTATATTTCAATTTGTAGATCACAGGACATATTCTGAAGTAAATAAAGGAGATGGTCACGCCGAGCACGATCTTTTTTGTCGTGTTAATAATAATAATGGCTTCGTTTGCAATAGGAACCATTAGCAATTCGTACGTTCTCAACAAACAAATGACTATCTAAAATGTGCAAAAAATGGCGTCATTTTTAAACCAATATAGGAGTGTTATCTAGTTACCGGGAATCGATGTCATGTTTCATTTGTCATAGCATAAATTTATCTAAAAAATTCAGGTGTGTGACTTTTTATTACTTTAAAATTCGGGACGGATTTTAGATTTACCACCAAGTAACACACTCAAAGCTATTCGCAGAACCATAGATTAAGAATCGAAAATTCGAGTTGTGAATTTTGCTAAAAAGTAGGTTGGTATTTTAGAATATGGCATCTTGCCGAGTTTAAAAATAGATATTTTTGTCACCAAATGCAAGTTAATGGACGGTCACTTCACCCGAATATTCATTGTCGAACCAAATTTATTTCATTTTTATTTAACTAATTTAAATTTGGACAAGACAGCTGTAACTTGTCTAGTACAGAGTGCATTATTTTCATAATTTTATTTTTACATTAGGTAAATGTAGAATTTAAAGAAATAAAATTGCGTTTGGGGAAAAGGTTTATTAAGGTCTGAATCAATTGTTATAAATAACCATTATTTCGCCGTATATATCATTTTTGATGTAATAAGTACATTTGTGGAGGTCCACATTAAATGATTTTACACAATTTGAGAAAAAGGAATAAGTCATCGTTGCTTAAAGCAATCTCTATACTCACTATGGGAAAATAACTTATTAATGTATTAAATAAGTATTAAGTAAATTTGGTTACTTTAAACCAAAATGGGCATAGAAACATAATTTACAATTACGAAAACTATGATAGTTTTCGTGAGCTCAAACTCGTACTAAGGGTTCAGTAGAGTTTTCGATAGAATTCAGGAATTCGAACCGATCTACATACTCAACTTATTTTCTGAACTACATGTCAAATAAAACTAGTTTTTACGGGTTAATGCACGAAACTTTATTTATTTATTGACGTTTCGCAGCCTTTTCAGGTCTGCATCGTCAGAATAACCTGAAAAGGCTGCGAAACGTCAATAAATAAATAAAGTTTCGTGCATTAACCCGTAAAAACTAGTTTTATTTAATGAGTGATGTGCGTGATAACCTAAGAAACAAATACATGTCAAATGTTACGTTTCGGTGTGGAGTTACACATTTATGGATATACCATGGACTTAAAGAAAGATAGGGCACCGTGATTATTTCTTTTGAATCGGATCGCTTGAGTGGAGAAGTAATTTCTACTTTACCCACCAACATTATAGTTCTGTCGGTGAGTAAAGTTTTCACGATCTTCCCGGAATAGGAAAGATTCCGAAGGTGAAGACAGACATATCTATCACACATGCTTTTGTCGCATCATCTTATTCTCAACTGAACTCTCTGATCGTGCTCAACATCAGGTGGGATAATTTTCTGCGCATTGTATAAAAATACTTAGAACTGGTTTTAGTCATGCTTCTTTCATACTATTGATAGTTTTATACAAACATGTGTATTATATATTTTGTGACTTACCTCCGCCACTTTTATAGCAAAGATAGGGGAATCGCCACACGTTGCCGAGGCCAACCGAATATCCCACACAGGCCAGCACGAACTGTATTTTGTTAGCCCAAAACGGCCGCCGAGGTTTCAGGTGATGGTCTTCGACGTCCGCTTCCTCTTCCTCGCAGCTCTCGTGGGAGGCCGTGTCTTGATCTGGGGGTCTGAGTAAAAACACTATTTACAAACTATAATTTATTGGAACGAAAGTTCCTTATGGCAGGCTTGGAGGATAGGGATTTTGCTGCGCGGCCGAACTGAAAAAAATGTGATAGTAAAACCGTAAGAAAAAATGCGTGGAATAAAACCGTTAAATGAGACTTGAATATTAAGTACCAGGATATCATAACCATAAAGGTGGTACAAGAGTAAGTTGTAGGTGACGGAGTACGATGTTCGCTATTCAGTAGTCTATACTTGCAGGTTTAGTACCAGGATATCAAAATCATATGGTGGTGGTTGTGAGGTCGAAAGTTCCTTACGGCAGGCTTGGAGGCGATAGGGATTTTGCTGCGCGACCGAACTGAAAAAAATGTGATAGTAAAACCGTAAGAAAAAATGCGTGGAATAAAACCGTTAAATGAGACGTGGTGTGCTGCGTTTTAGTGGCATTATTACCAGGACTATATAACTCGTTGAGATACAACAACAAAATTATTTGCAATTTATTGAGGAAATACGATGTTGTTATTCAGTACACACTTGAAGATTAAGTACCAGGATATCATAACCATAAAGGTGGTACAAGAGTAAGTTGTAGGTGACGGAGTACGATGTTCGCTATTCAGTAGTCTATACTTGCAGGTTTAGTACCAGGATATCGAAATCATATGGTGGTGGTTGTGAGGTCTTTCTAGAGCGAGGGAGACGACCAGGCAGCTTTCCAGCTCACAGCGAATAATGTAGTGGATTATCGATTATATTTATAAGGCTTAGTACCAGGACAACATAATCTTAAAGGCGTTGTAATAATAGTATGAATCGTACCGTGTATGATGTGCTATGATTATGATGATATGATAGTGTGTCCATGCGTGGAATTTTTATTTTGTTAGAAACTTTTTCGAAAACCTATTTAAAAATCGAATACACTTCGAAGTTTGAACGTCCGCTCATTCACCTAGGCTACGCAGCTGGTTGCGACACGGGCGCACCGCGGCCGAATTCCGTAGGACTGATAATGTATACCTAGTGTGAGCTTATGCGATTCTGGTATTTCGAATACTCATTACTTCGTTAATCAATTGAGTCCGTTTTGTTGCTTAATTTACTGATAAATAAATGGATTTAAACACTCTCAAACAATTACAAAGAAAAGTTTCAATTTAATTTAGGTAACATTATTTAAGAATGTAAACGTACAAACCGCCACGTGAGGAAATAAAATAAAATTAACTACAATATGTCACGTGGTTCAAATCCTTTCTGCAAACTAAATTGTTATTGGTATAGGATCAAATTATGAATCTTTTTCGGTTTTCCTCTCCCCTTATAATTCTTCTTCTTTCAATTTAATAAATGGCTTGTTTGCGTTTTTCGCAGTTGGAAATGAGATATTAAGTCTCATATCGAAGAAAAGTGTCATTCTTTAGATTCGAAAGAGAAAGTCAAAGCGATAAAGATGGACAATTAGCGTTTTTAAAAACTACGCTGATTGAAGTCCATGAATGAATCTATTGCGTTGGAGTGGTTTTCAAGTGAAGATTTTTAGGGTTCCGTAGCAAATGGCAAAAAAGGGAACCCTTATAGATTCATCATGTCCGTCTGTCTGTCCGTTCGTATGCCAAAGCCACTTTTTCCGAAACTATAAGAACTTCACTGTTGAAACTTGGTAAGTAGATATATTCTGTGAACCACATTAAGATTTTCACACAAAAATAGAAAAAAAACCTTAGAATAGGAAAAAAAATTAAACCCATACGTGTGGGGATCTATGGATTGGTCTTCAAAAATGATATTGAGGTTTCTAACATATTTTTGAAGTTATACTTCTTTAGGCGCGTTATGAAAAAATATGTTGAGAGTGAAATTTTAAGATGCGCGCGCATCATGTAACACAAAATTGTAACAGCATGAAGTTGGTCGCTTTAGCGACCAACTTCATGCGTTACTTTTGTGTTTACCGCACATTAAGAAAATCTACCAACAAAATAGAAATAGAATCTCTGTTTAGTGGGTGCTAACGACTGCATTGTGAAGGCCTATCAAAAGTATTTATTAATCTGGAACAACGGAACCAAAGCGCGATTCAGGAGACTACAGCGCCATCTCTTGACCATTGGTGTAGTACAACCAAAAGCCACATCTTTATTTTTTGTAATAAAGTAACAGTTATAGGTATTCATATTTATAATATTTATCCACATGTTTCTAGTTTGTATATTCGGAATACGTGTTTGAGTTTCATACAAGTGCAAATCACATATGTTCTAATAAATTATATTCAGTAGCGATTTTAATTGAATATTTTGATTATTTATTTATTTTTTCAAATTAAAACTGAACTTTATTGACTGTGTCCTTTTCCAGACTTTTTATTAATTTATTGTAATTAATTATTTCCATGCAATTAAAAACTAATTTTAAACGATGCCAAAGAAGGATAACTTCTCACGCGCCTACATAAGTACACGCACCCATTATTTTTTTAACTGAATAGTTTCAGAGTGAGACACTTCCAAAGTGGTAAAATGTGTCCTGTAACTTCTAAAATAAGAGACTGATAAAACTAAAAAAAATCTAGTACATTACTATGCAAACTTCCACCGAAAATTGGTTTGACCGAGATCTAGTAAGTAGTTTTTTCTATGTAATTTTATGTTGTCAAACAAAACTAAAGAGACATATTTTGTTACTTTAGTTGATAATTTGAATTACGATGTTTTTTATTTTAAGTAATTTATTATTTCCTAAAATACTGAATTTCCTAAATACTTTCTTGTACTTAAAAAAATTTAAGAGAAAAATCAAGAAAACCTGCAATTTGTGTCGATTCTACATTAGCCAAAGGAACTTCGTTCCTACCTGGTGTCCCACGACACCACATCATTTTTATATCTGCAGAGGCGGCTTTACCTATAGTGCAGGGTGTGCGGTGCACACGGGCGCCGGGTCTAAGGGGGCGCCGGCGCCGGAGCCAGGCGTCGAGCGCCCTCTACTCTAATACGGCACCTCCAAAGATGCGTGCGTCGTCGCTCGCGGAACGCTTTTCGGCCGATGCCTCCGCGCCGGGCGCGCGGTAGCAAAACAAGCGCACCACCACAAGTTCCGACTTTACCTACTCTACGCAATTACTTTTATTTCAACGTGAAATCAGCCTTATAACAGATTTTTAAATATTATATTGAAGCACTGTCGCATCACTACCGAAGGCGCGTGCTGGCACCTGTTTTTGACTCGTTTGAAAACACGCCGACCATCATTGCTAACTGGGCTGTATTAGAATGACTAAAAGTTCAAATTCAAATAGCAAGTGACGCTGTGGCGGTAATTTCAAAGGCTTTCTGTACGAGTGCCGCAAATTTTGTTTTACCGTTTTTACCGCTACTCCGTAGTTTTGCAAAATAAGCCTTGATTCAATGAATTAAGTATCATCTTTGAGTAAACATGTAAATATGAAGTAAGTCGACTTTTCTTTTGATAAAAAATATATATTCGATATGATTTGGTTATTTTTTCACACAATTATTGCCACATGCATCGGGATCAGATGCCATCAAAAACAGCTAGCGAAAAAAAACAAAGGGTGATAGTGATATAGAAGTAAACATAAGTAATGTTAGAATTGAAACAACCCAAATATTTTTCAATTATTTTAGATTGCACTCCAGATGTTGCACACAAAGAACAAATATCAGTTGTCGTACGGTACGTCCTTTTAAATGCAAGCAACAACAAGGCTGAAGTAAAAGAAAAGAAAAAAAAAGCTGTTTGGGCACTACTGGCGTGGGTTTAACTCAATTCTTGTTAGATTTTTTAATCTCAAACGAAATTGACATACAATTATGCGTGGTCAAGGTTACGATAATGGTGCAAACATGAAAGGGAAAAATGTGGGTCTTCAAAAACGAAATTTAGATACAAACTCGCGCGCATTTTATGTACCATATGCGGTACCATATGTACCATGCGGCACATAGCCTAAATTTGGTAGTGAATGCAGCAGCTAAAAGTTCATTAGAAATAGTAGATTTCTTTTCAATTGTGCTAGAAATTTGTTTTTTTTTCTGCGTCAACAGCACGGTGGCAAATACTTGCTAAAAAAAGAAGTGCCAACTTTAAGTTTAAAACCACTCTCAAATACTCCATGGGAGCGCAGGGTTGAAGCAGTAAAAGCTCTACGTTTTGAACTGGGGAAAGTGTATGATGCCTTGTTTACCATATATTCCGATAGGAGCAAAGATGCGGAGTCAAGAAATATAGCAAATTCATTACTGGGAAAAATTAAATCGCTTAAATTCATCCGCTCTCTGCTTATTTGGTTTGAAATTTTAAGTAACATAATTAAAGTTAGCAAGGCACTTCAAATGTCAGACGTTGTATTGTCAGTAGCGGTGAAAATGATTGATAATCCAAAAATAAGTTTGTCTGAATTCCGTAATGACTCCGCTTTTGAAAAGCTCCTTAACAGTGCGAAAACTGTAGTGGAAGAAGTCGAGGCAATAGCAGAATTTCCCACACCTGCACGCTCTAGCGCTCGTAAAAGGGTTTTTAATTATGAGGCGGAGGATGAACCGATCACAGACGCGAAAACACATTTTAAAGTCAATTGTTACTACTATTTATTAGAAACCGCAATTACTAAGTTCGATGAAACGGTTCGAACTTCTCAATCAAAAGAATGTAGTTTTTCATTTCTTCAAAAATTTACACAGTGGAAGTTTTTGACTCATCTACAAAAAAGCACATTGTTCTAATTTAGAAAATAAACTTTGCAAATCTGGCTTGCGATGTGGAAAAGTTCGAGCACTTAAATGAAATCGAACTATTACCGATGTTTATTGATGATTCCACTACTCCGTTGGATATTTTAAATTACTTGTTTACGAATAAATTGATTTCTTGATCAGTATTCCCAAAGCTGTCCACAGTACTGAGGATTTACCTGACACTTCCAGTCACGGTAGCACACAGCGAAAGGTCATTTACTATACTAAAATTAATT